AGAGTCTGTCCATATTTTTAATCTTTTATTAACCAATTCTTTACTATAATTAATAATAATCTTTTTTTGAGCAGATATTTCGAATTTGGGGACTAATTTCGAAAATTTAAGACATTTCTTGTTATGATTCAATCTTTCGAAGAAATATAGTTTGGTTTAATATCCAACACACTCGAATTATTGGGGATGGGTATGTAGAGTTTCTATCCCTAATTTTACTTATGAAAAACTTGTTACTGGAATTTTCAACAAAAGTACCTCTAGTATTACCTTTATAGCTGGAAACATATAATATCTTCAGTGAACATCGTCAGCTGCTTTCATTACAGAACCTGTACAATTACCTGAATTCACACACACAACAACACGCATTGCAAAAATTTCATTACTAGTAATGAAAAGAACATCCTTGACGCCACCCACGCACACAACTGCACTTCTTTCTACATAATAATTGAAGTTGTAAAGGATGAGCTATAAAGAACGCCTTGAAAAATGTGAGCACGCGAGTGTGGACAGCAATGTAACGCGTCTCGTTTCAATTATTTTTTATCTTCTGCCATTTCAGCCATTACGATGGATCGTTTCAATGTATGGATGCGTGATTTCACGCTCTTCGTCACTTACATTGTCATTTTTGCTGTGTCAAGTGGCGTTGCGTAAGTGTCTGTTCCTTATTAAATTTGCTCAGTTGACACATTTGTAGTGACTTATGGAGGTGTGCGGGTCGGACGGCTATATATACTTACTCACATACATATTATATATACCATACATGTGTTTGTGCGGGTGTGAGTGTTCAAGGATACTGAAGCATGAAAAATATTTAATAACAATAACTGAATGTAAATATAAGACGCATCGTCTTCGAAGTCTGTTGAAACGCGTGTGCGGAGGTGTGACATGTACTCGTATGTACGAGTGTATGTGTGTGTGTGTGTATGCATCAATGTTTAAAGCAAATAATTCAACAGTTAAGTGGCTTAAGTCATATTGATGGCATTTCTCTGGCATTTATATAATACTAGATGCATATGCGTATGTATGTGTGTAATCTGCCGTTGACATTAAACGCAGTGAACAGTCAATTCTTCGTGATGCT